CTTCCTTCCTTCCTTCCTCCCTCCCTCCCTCCCTCCCTCCCTCCCTCCCTCCCTCCCTCCTTCCCTCCCTCTCTTCCTTCCTTCCTTCCTTCCTTTCTTCTTTCTTACTCCTCTCTCTCTCTCTCTCTCTCTCTCTCTCTCTCTCTCTCTCTCTCTCTCTCTCTCTCTCTCTCCTCTTGTTCCATGTTTTTATTTTTTGTTGGTTTTGGTTTTCAAGACAAGGTTTCGTGTGTAGCCCTGGGTGTCCTGGAACTTGCTCTGCAGACCAGATTGGCCTCAAATTCAACAGAAATCTACTTCCCTCTGCCTCCCAAGTGCAGGGATTAAGGCATGGACCACCACCGTCCGCTGCTTTATTCCTTAACTGAATAAGAAAAATCTGAAGCGATTTCCTCTTTGTTGGCATGTGCAAAAGTGTACTGCCCCGAAAGCTCAGGAAGTGAATGCTAGGCTGGTGTAGTGGACTGTCAGAGCTAGGGAAGCCAGGATGCCCTGTGTGCTCACAAACTCCCTTGGTGCCAAATCATGAATCTGTGATTTAACAGAAGGGGTTAAAATCCCCCCAGTGGTGTTTCACAGAGTGTAGGGCTATGGAGTCTATGTACAATAGAGATCAGAAACAAAGACGGAAACCATAGGTTTGGTTTGGGAAAGAGAAGTCGGTAGCCAGGTCCTCCAAACTGCCTTTCAAGAAAAGAGCAGATTGGAGAACAGATATGTGAGTGTGTGTGTTGCAAAGCTTTATGTCAACTTGACATAGGCTAAAGTCATCCAAGAGGTAGAATCCTCAGTTGAGGAAAATGCCTCTATAATATTTACTGGAGGCAAACCAGTAGGGCATTTTCTTAATTACTTATTGATAGGGAAGACCCAGCCCATGGTGGTGACATCCCTGGAATACTTGTCCTGGGTTCTATAAGAAAACAGGCTGAGCAAGAAAGTAAGCAGAACTCCTCTACAGTTCCTGCATCCATCTGCTCCTGCCTTTAGGTTCCTGTCCTGTTTGAGTTCCTGTCCTGACTTCCTTCAGATGAACAGCAACATGGAAGCATAAGCCAAATAAGCCCTTCCCTCCCAACTTGCTTTTCAGTCTTGGTGATTCATCCCAGCAATAGGCAGCATAAATAAAACAGTGTGTCTGGGGCTCTGCATTTGGTGGTACCCCACATCTTCTATTAGGTTCTTTGGAAGTGAACTCAGTGATGGATAAGTCAGAAGCCACCCCTTCGCTTATGTTTTTTCTTTCTAAGATAGTATTATTTCTTCCAGTTGGTGCTTCAAGTAAGAGGATAATGAGTAAAAAAGGAGCTACCCTTATAATCAGTGAGAGACCTGCAAGCCAGAGACACTTCATTTCGAACATGTGGCTTTATAGGTAAAGAACGAATGCTCCTGAATTTCCTCTAGGATCTAGATGCCTGTAGGGAGCATTAACCCAGACTGCCTTTGTTTGTTCTTGGTTCTCACATAGTCTTATGGGAGCTGTTTGTATCTATGGAAGCTCAAGTGTCTAAAGGCTGGGAGTCCTATATGGGCTGTGATCGCTCTGTCTCCATCCAATCCTCCTCTTCATTTTCCTTTGGGATAGAGTCCTATGTCCGACTAGCTTCCTTCTTGGTTTCTGAGTCCCAATGTTATGTGTCTAGAAACCTGTAGGGATCAGATGCAGCATTCCAAACAAAGACATTGCTCCCATGAGATCATGTATTCAGGACATGATGAGAGAGATGGTGGAGTACCAGCTGCTTCTTTTGCTGAAACGTCTCCCTCAACCAGAAGCCACGAGACTCACAGGTTGTTTCTGCAGGCCGTCATGGACATTCGGGAATGCCAACAACACTAGTTGTACCGCTTTATGCTGGCCACTGCTGAGTTGCCCCATGTCTGAGAAAAAAGACCCTTTGGTCTGTGGTGCATGAAGGGGAGACTCCAACAGTTTCCTTTTTGAGATAGGGTGGGGGGCAATTTAAATTTTAGAGTTTGAAATCTTGATTATATCCAAACTTTACTGTCAACTCAAGGGGCTGTTTTCTGACACTTCCCAGCATGCTCTGCAGTAAGCAAAGAAGCCTGATGCCATGCTTGGATTGTGTCTTGCTGAATGTATGATTGGCAACACTAATTCCTCAGTGTGGCAGGGTTGGGGTTTGGGGGTCAACGGTGGAGACATAATGAATGGACTGACTCTGTGCTTGGCAGATCTCAGTCTCACGGAACTGGATTTGATGCCAGGAGAACAGGTTGGATAAAACAAAGCCCACCCTCATGCTTTGTCTTGAATGCTGCTTGCTGCCAAGTCAGAGCTGCAGGGGGGTCCCCCTCAGATGTGGTTGTCTGATCTCAGACTTCCCCTTCTCCAGAACAGCAAGCCAAAATAAACCTGCATTCTTTTTTCCTTTTATTTAAATTAGAAACAAGTTTGCTTCACAAGTCAATCCCAGCTCCCTCTCCCTCTCCCTCTCCCTCCCCTCCTCCCCTGCCCCCCAGTCCCCCCAACCCTCCAACCCTCCAACCCCCACTCCACTCTCCAGGAAGGGTGAGACCCTCCATAGGGAATCTCCAAAGTCTATCATATCATCCAGGGCAGGACCTAGGCCCTCCCCCATGTGTCCAGGCTGAGAGAGCATCCCTCCATGTGAAATGGGCTCCCAAAGTTCATTCGGATGCCAGGGATAAACACTGACCTGGTATCTGAGGCCCCGAAGATTGCCAAGGCCTCCTCATTGACACCCACATTCAGGTGGTCTGGATCAGTCCCATGATAGTCTCTCAGCTATCAGTCTAAGAGACTATAGGCTGGCAATTCCTTGCTTCATGTCTAAAATCCATATATGAGTGAGTGCATACCATGTTTGTCTTTTTGTGATTGGGTTACCTCAACTCAGGATCATTTCTTCTACTGCCATCCATTTGCCTGATATCAATCCCATGAGCTCCCCCTTGTTCAGGTCAGCTGTTTCTGTGGGTTTCACCCACCCGGTCATAACCCATTTGTTCATCACTTCTCCCTCTCTGCAGCTAGGTTCCAGGAGTTCAGTTCAGTGTTTAGCTGTGGGTGTCTGCTGCTGCTTTCATCAGCCACTGGATGAAGGCTCTAGGATGGCATACAAGCTAATCGTCAATCTCATTATTGGGGAAGAGCATTTAAGGTAGCCTCTCCACTATTGCTTAGATTGCCAGTTGGTGTCATCCTTGTAGATGTCTGGAAATCTCATTACTGCCAGATCTCTCCTCAAACCTATAATGACTCCCTCTATTATGGTATGTCCCATTCTGCTCTCCTCGATTCTTCCCCCAACTCAACCTTCCTGATCCATCATGTCCTCCTCTCCCCTCCTCTTCTCCCCTTCACTTTTCCCCAGCTCCCTCTCTCTTCCTGCCATGCTCACAGTCCACTCAGGAGACCCTGTCCCATTCCCCTTCTCTGGAGTACCATGCATATCTCTCTTAGGGTCCTTCCTGTTTCCCAGACTCTGGCGGTGAGATTGTAGGCTGGCACTTCCCTGCTTCATGTCTAAAATCCATATATGAGTGAGTGCATACCATGTTTGTTTTTTTGTAATTGTGTTACCTCACTCAGGATCATTTCTTCTAGTGCCATCCATTTGCCTGCAAATTTCAAGATTCCATTGTTTTTTTTCCTGCTGAGTACTAGTCCATTGTGTAAACATACCACATTTTCTTTATCCACTCTTCAGTTGAGGGGCATCTAGGCTGCTTCCAAGTTCTGGCTATTACAAATAATGCTGCTATGATTATAATGGAATGTGAATCTTTTGGGTATATGCCTAAGAGTGGAATTTCTGGATCTTGTGGTAGACTGATTCCCATTTTCCTGAGGAATCTTCACACTGATTTCCAAAGTGGCTGTAGAGTTGGCACTCTCACCAGCAGCGGAGGACCTCCATTCTTTACAAATCATTCAATCTCGTGTTCTGCTACAGCAATTACCTACAACCTAGGTGCAGCTGACCAGTGAGTTCTGCAAGAACCTTCCATGATTTATGACCTTCCCCAGATCTAGAATTTGCAAGCAGAATTACCCGACACTGACTGAGAGGGAGACTTGCCAGGTCCTGAACACTTATCTATGGTGTACTTCAAATTTGCTATACAAGTGGAATATTCTAGAGTCAGTCATACCTTCCTCAGAAGGCATCTTGTTCTAAGCCGGGTGCAGCAGAACTGGCCTGTCATCCCAGCACTTAGAGGATGGAGGCAGTAGGAGCATGAATTCAAGGCCAGCGTGGGATATGCAGTATGGCACTGTCTTACACGAAACGGGAGCTAGAGGATAAAGCCATGTGCCTCGCAAAGGAGCAGCTTGGCTCCTCTCACCCACACTGGGTGGCTCACAGGAACCTGCAACTCCAGCTCCAGGGGATCTCTCTGCACTCTGCAGGCACCTGTACTCATATGCACACAAACCTACCTGCTCCATCACATGCACGTAAACAAAGCAAATCTAATAAACAAGCAAACAAAGGATCTTGGTCTTGACTTGTCATTTCTGACCCTTAAGCCTGGATGCCCTTGAAATCCATTGTGGATTCAAGGTCAGGGTTAATCACATAACACCAAGATCACCATGGATCACATACCTTACTGGAGAGATGCTATTGAAGTGAATATGATATAACCAATCTGAGATGCATGCACATGGGAAACATAGTGACACACTTTAGTGTGCATGAGTAAATGGCTATTATTTCTCTGTGAAGATTTATAATTCATCAGAAAGTGATCACACAAACTTCACATAGACTCATCATGCATACACTGTGTATGTGTTATTATCTATGCATTTGGGTTGGTATATGAAGCACACTTTTAAGAAGTAGAAATAGGTTGATTCTAGAAGGAAGGCAGTGAACCAGGTGATTGTAAACCCAACCCTTAGTCAATCCGTGAAGTGTGTCTTAGAGTCAGTACAGGTTTTCACTTTGAGCACAGTATCAATATTAATTAAATCAACAAATAAGACATATTTCTTCATGGGGTTACTTCCAAATTCTTTGTTTATTAAACTTAGTAGACATTAAGTTAGTATTTTCCTTTTGGATAACCCTCCTCAAGTATGCACCATGACTTAAAATATAATCTAAATATAAAGCACTCTGGTACTCCATGCCATCGCTATAACTTAACACCACACGGAACACTACTGCTTTATAAAGTGGATTCTTAAATACATGATGGGCGCTTCTCCTGGATCGTGGTCTCCATGTCTGCTTTTAGTCACAATTAGGTTTCCCGTTTCTCACCGCTTGCCTGCATGGGCCTCTGAGAGCAATAGCACTTGGTGTTCCTAGCACCAGCTGCAAGAACACAAAGGAATGGGTAGCCATCCCCTCCTCCCTCCTAACGATTGTGAAGCAGCTAGCCCTGAATAAGATGGCTCTGGAACTCACAGCTGGGGCAGAACCAAGTAAATGCAGAGAGGAAGCCACATCAAGCCAGTATGTCTAATCACAGAGTGACTTCTCACAAAGACTCAGTGTTGCACAGAGATGGCCTCTAGCAGAGTGGGTCTCTAGTGGGCACGAGTCCCATCCCGGCCTCTTTCACCAGCAAACCAGTGGAGATGAGGTTCTTCTCCACACCCCAACCACAGTGGGAGCCAGGACACGGGTGCCTCACCTGGAGAAAACTGCCACAGATCTCCTTATCACTCTGTAGCACTTACCACACCATAGCTGCCCTAAGCACTGCTGTTCCTGACTGCCTAGCACAGCAGGCTTTTCTGAATTTCCCAATGGGGCCAGTCAACTCTGAGGGTTAAGCAGCAGGCTATAATCTGCATCATTAAACCAAGTATACAAGGGCCCACATCTTTGCTCAACAAGTGAAAACCAGTGCTAGGAAACCCGATTTAAATTGCTTTGAGGCTTTACAGACGCACCTTTCTACCCAGAATTTCTGAAAGTGTGGATTGGCATTAAGGTGGGAACAATGACTTAGCTGAACCTTGCATCTTCTCTTAGGCACACATCAATACCCATATGGTTTCTGTATTAATACACAGGGTCTTGATGGCAGCCCCAAGCCAACTCTTCACTGGATTCCAGTGTCAAAAACTTGGGGTACCAAAGGGGTTTGGAGAAATAAGAGAAGCAATGGCAGAGAAAGCTGCAGCTTGACATTTTTTATCTTCAAAGCTCAGCTCAAGGCTACATACAGGGGTGGGAGGACACAGGTAAGAAGCCAGCTGCCACCCTTGCTGCCACCCCTAAACCCACTAACTCCAACTCTCTGCAGACTTAAAGTGCAATCACTGCTATGAAGTTCTCAGGCCAGGGATCAGGCTGGAAAGAGATTCAAAGCTGAAACTTCAAACACACTGCTCACAACTCAGAGGCTGGAAGAGGGGACGAGGGGGAAGGCACTGGTAGATGTCAGGCATTCAAGTGCATCAAAAGAATCAATGTCTTTTCTCTGTGTGGAGAAAAGTCATAAATGGTAAGGAGTCTTGGTTTAGAAAACGCCTTCTATCGGACGATGCTCCAATGTGGTAGGGTCCAAAGGCAGGCAAAGGCAGGAAGCAATAGGGGCCCAGCTGTCCTCCCTGCTGCCCTGCCAAACAGATGGGCTCGACTGTCTTCTAAGTCTTCAGCTCTCGGTGAGGAAGAGGCACACTGTACCAAGGGCATCTGGTAGGATGTCGCCCTCTTCTCAGGCCTGTCTGGGCTAGAGCCATCGCTGGGCCTCTGGCCATTGAACAGTAGGTAGCGTCCCCGGGCATCTTGCTCCATTTTGAAGATCTCATATTCTGTGTGAGGTAGTTTGATGCCCAGAGCCACACAGCCATTGGTGTGTGTCACGTCCTGTTGGATACCCACTTGCCAGGAGCCCTCAGCCCCACACTCGTTCCCACTGAAGACATTGAGGAGGGAGGCTGTGGCAGCATCCATGGGAGTGACCTTCATGTGATTCACTGTGGAAAAGAGAGATGTCCATGACTCTAGGGAGACAACTTGGGGGGGGGGCAGACACTTCCAGCAAATGATGGGGACTCTGCCTCAAAGCTTTCTTTTTGAAAACACAACCTGTTGGCTTCCCTAGCTGACCACAGTAATCACAAGAACAGGTAGAGGTAGGAAGTTTCATAGGCTGATCTGAATGGTGGTCACACCGAATAGAGCCAGCCAGCTCATAGAATCACACATTCTGCAGCCACAACTTAACTACACACCGTAATGGTCCTACACTAGGTATCAGGAGTGATCTAGAAATGGTGTAAAGTACACGGAGTATGTACACAGGTTTTGTTAAGTGTCCTCATTTCTCAGAAAGGGCTAGAGCAACTTTGGACTTTGATGTCTTCAAGGAGTCCTGAAATTAATTGCCCATGAATACAAAGGGATGGCAGTAAACTGTAGTTGTGGTCAGAAAAGATGGGTGATATTTGGTGAGCCCAGTTTGCAGCCGATCACACATGTGAGTGTGAAATACAACTATCCCAGCATTGTTTGCAGTTAGGTTGCAAACAAGAAAAATATGAAGAAAATACAAGCCCTAGTCTTGGTGGATCCTTGGGGTCCTCCCAAAGTCTACACTTTGCATATAACATGGTGATATTTGGGGTGAGAAGATGGGATTTTCCTGGTTAAGTTTACAAAGCCCATGTATAAGAGCCAAGTTCCTTAGTCAAACGAGGGTGGCTATGATCAGGGCTTCCTTGAGGCAAACACAGACATCTCACACTAACTGGACTCCAGTGCCACACTTGAGCGGTCACCTAGTGACCCAGCTTCCCTCATTATTTGGTATTACAGGGTTGATACCACCTTACAGACATTCAAACTTAAAACTAAAGCAGAACGACCTCCTTTGTGGTAGGGGCAGGTGCCTCCTGATCCTAGTTTCCTTGCTTGGGAAACAGTGCTCAGCATGAACTTTCCCCCATGATGCCCTTGGCTTTTAGCCTGGGACAAGCTCTTGTGTGCAGGCCCCGCTCGTATTGGAAGTATCAACTTCGAGCATCAAGAAGTAACAGACACCTGCTCTGTATTCCTCATCTAGGAAAAATAACCAGTACACAATAAGCCTGATGCTACCAGAGAGGTTGTTAGGTTTCACTGCAGTAGCATTCTAGACTCACATTATGGTGGCCCATGTGATGGCTTGGTTCCACTGTTCCCGAGTGTCACATGGATGCCGGGTACTGGCCTGTTCTGAGCAGAAAGGTGCTCAAATGTTATTTACAAGGATGCTTTGAGGAAGTCCTGGTTCTAACTTCATTCCCAGTATCTCAAGCAGCAAAGATGCCCTTTCTCTGAGGTTCTGCCCTAACAGAAATGTCTCACAGTTGCTTTTGAGCTGTGCCGTGAAAAGCAGAGGCAGTAGACTTACCTTTGAACACAAACTCTGTGCCACCCATGACCCTTGAGGAGAGCACACCGCGGCTGTAGCGGCCTCGAGCATAGATGGTAAACGTAGGGTGTTTGCAGACAGGGTCCGAGTAGTGGTAGTAATGCCCTTCCCAGGTGTTGTTGTTGTCATGGAAGATGAAGTGGCGGGTGAGGAAGAGGACTTCGGGTCGCACCTCACAGCGTTGGCTCACCCATTCCCCATGTAGGCCAATGGTCAGGTCAGCCTTGGGGGGCAGGATGGGAGGATGATGTTCGTCAGAGCGATAAATGATCCGGCAGGCTATGCAGGCGTGGTTGTGGTTCTGAAGCAAAGAAACAATGACATTTGGAGACTTTAGTTTTCCCATGAGCTCAGTATGCATGTATATCCCTGAAAATGGGAGGTTCACCAAGGTTAGGACTGGACACTCAGGACACCATCACTTAACCCCCAAAACAAATGGTGTCCAGAGAGTGGAGCATGGGGTGTACCTGAATATACACTCACACCAGTCCAGCTGTAACAGGACAGCCTGCCTTAATGCCGGTTATAGCATGGGCTCATTAGAATCCTGCTTGGGTTTCAGACCATAGGCTGGTGCTCAATGTAATGCCTCACATTCCATAGGATGGGACCATGACAAATCCAGGTGTGGAGAAACCCCAGTTATTTGGCCCTGTCTGCAGGAATGGTACAGTCTTTGTTGACAACAGCGGTTTGGTTCCTCAAAAGCTTAAACCCAGAATTGCTGTACGATCCAGCTTTTGCACTGCTAAATACATATCTAGAAGAATTGGAAGCAAGGGCTTTGACCCACAGTAGCCAAAAGGAAAGCAATCCGACTGCACGGCCACAGATGAACGGTGAAGCACACTACAGTCTGCATATACGATAGCAGAAACCTCGGCTTTAAGAGAGAGGGTGCTGTGCACAGACCACAACACGATGAACCGTGAGGACACTGTGCTAAATGAAAGAAACCAGTCATGTAGACATACACAGTGTTTAATTCCATTCACTTGGGGGACATGGAGTAGTGAAATCCAGAAACGGGAGGTAGCAGGGTGACTTTGAGGGGTGAGAAGGGAGGTAGGAGTGGAGAGGCCAGGTATAATAGAACTTCAGTTTTATAAGGTCTAGCATTCTAGATATGAACAGTGGTGAAGGCTGTTCAATATTATGAACGTTACTCATGCTACTTAGCTGTACCCTTAAAATGGGTACCCATGAAGCAGATTTATGAGTGTATTTCAGCACAATTAAATTTTTAAATAATTTTAAAACATTTTTATTTGTTCATATTTTAATCTATGAGTGCTCCGCATGTATACCTGCACGCCGGAAGAGGGCATCAGATCCTACTGTAGGTGGTTGTGAGCCACCTTGTGTGTTTGCTGGGAACTGAACTCAGGACCTCTGGACGAGCAGTCAGTGCTCTTAACCACTGAGCCACCTCTCCAACCCCGCAATTAAAATTTTAAAGGAAGAAACTGCACAATACACTAAGGAAAACAGAGCTGTGGCTGTAGACGAGAGGGATCTCTGGGCCCCTGTGATACAGTGAATGCAGGAGGCAGAGGAAGCAGACAGTAGAGGGTGGGGGAGAACTCTGAGGCGTGTGCACAGGCTGTCCATGAGTGCCCAGAGCCCAAGGCTCAGAGTTCCTTAGCTCTTGAAATGCTTTCTTTTCTAACTTTCTGCAGCCTGACGTACACAGTAAAGCCGTGCTCTCCCTTCCAGGAGGTACGCCTTGTGGAGTGTTTTGTTTGGTGCCCATTCCATAGATGTCAACTCTGATTACCCTGCTTGTCTTCAGAACTTGCAACCAAAGCCTCTGGCTGTCAGTCAGCACTGGTCCTAGGCAAAGCACCATGAGCCTGCCACCTACCTAACTCTAACTCTAACTCCATGTTTCTACTTCCTCCAAGTTGGTACAAGGCCCAAGGGGTGAACAGAGCACGCAGGACGACAGCCTTTGATCTCGGCCCTCTGACCAGGGAGGCGCACCTCACTGGGACCTGCATGCCCACACTCCGGGCCCATATGTATCCCGGTCCACAGTCACACCTCCTCCCCTCCCAGGGCAGGGAAACACTTCTTCTCAGCCATTTTCCTGAAGGCAAAAATTCACTCCTTCACCAAGGTAGGCTTGTTGCCCTCATACAGTGACTTGGCAGTAGTGACAAGCTTGCCTTTCTGGAAGTCTGTGGTAAGGGGGGGGGCAGGTGGCTGCCATCCGCCTTTCCCACACCCCCATTAAGGGGGAGCCCTGTCCTCACTTGACCCTCTTCTTCCATTAATGACCTTAGGTTCAACTTATAGTAGGGAAGGCTTCTTTTGTCTGGTGATGTGAGGCTTATAGACAGTGAGATAGTGCAGAGTTAAGGAGAAGGCCAGGGTCCAGGTGCATTTGCTGGTCTGGGCTCTTCTGCAGAGGACGTTCAGGCACACGGGAGAATATAAACTGAGCTCCAGCCTGTGACCGGCTGGCCACAGGGAGACAAGTACACAGCCCATTGGAACCAGTGCTGATAATAGAGCAGACAAGGGCGGCTCTGGCCAGATCCTGAAGGCCTGAGCCAGCCGCACTGCCTGCCTCACAGCCGTGACGAGTTATTCATTTCCCTCTGCTTCAACTTCCTCGCTTACACCGTGGTCACTGTTGTGCACACTTGCATAACTGCTGCAAGGAGGGAGCTGGCAGAGCCAGGCGGTTCCCACCCAGTGCCCACGCTTGAGAAGACCACGGCAGTGATCTGTCTACCTGCAGTGTCACAGTCCTCTGGTAGGGAGGAAAGCACAAACTGAAGTGGAGGAGAACCCCCCCCCCCCGTCCCTGAGCTGACAGGCTGTGTCCTCTCAGTAAGCTGCCAGGAGGTGAAGGTTCCACAGCTCTCACCCTAAATGGGTTGTTCTGACATTTAAAGGCCAGGAAGGAATGTTCACTTTGGTGTCCGTAAAAAGGTACACTCTGGGGCTCCTGCACAGAGCAGAGTATGCCAGAATATTACCACAATTAGCCTGAAGCTGATTCATAATGACACGGAGGCCCTGTCCAAGCATGATGCTCCAAAGCACCCGCAGGTGGCCTGCCACATTCCAGAAAGAGGAGCCATCAGAAGCTGATGTTCAGCCAGGATCAGAATACTCCACCGCAAAGATGCTCGCTGCCTACTGCATCTGTTCCCCCAGAAGGTCCCACAAGGTTCTGAATCACCGACTTTCATCCACCCACTGCTTCTCCATCCTACCCTCCACAACTTGGCTGTCTACATCTACTGGGAATATAGGGACATCCACTGGGCCTCCTTTCACTTTTGGCTTTTCTATGAAGTTAAGTCTCAGTCTCCGAAAAGATATGCTTTCCCCTTCGGCACCAGTATTGGTTAAGGGAAAGCGCAACGCTGATTGGAAACTATTAAAGAGCAATGATTTCCACTTCAACAGGAAAAGGCTGGGTGAGCAGACTGCACAGCGGTCACCCAGGCTGCCCCGCCATGGCGCCATGAGAGTTGGCTGGACGTTCATGAGGAGCACTTCTTTAAGAAGAGGAGGCAGGAGTCCAGAACTCCAAAAGGACTCAGCTGGCCTGTAGTCCCTCAGATGAATGGAGCCTCTGAGATAAAAGGTTTCGATTGGGCAGAAGGAAAAAGCAGGCTGGGCCAGCCGGCCTATGGGATCCGGGTTCATGTGCAGTGACTGGAAGGAACCTGGTCGTTTTTGTTTTGTTGTGCCTTTTTAAAAAAGGCTACAGAACCTATCATCTTAGTAAATTTTAAGTGCAAAGTTCGGTGGCATTAAGTCACATGGTTAGGTGGCCATTAGCACTGTCTATCTCGAGAACCTTCTCATCTGCCCTAACTGAAATGAACGTCCACCTCCCTTCCCCCCTTTCCTAGTCCCTGGCGATCATCCTTCTACCTTCTGTCTTTGAGTATCACTAGGGACCTCCTAGAAGGAGACTCATGCAGTATTTGCCATCTTGTGGCATTAGCAAATGTAGTCTAGGTCCACCCCTGTTGTAGCATGTTTGGTGAAGCCCTTCCGTTTTAAGGCCTAATCCCTTCATTCACACACACACTTTGCTGACCAGTTACTCTGTAGACACTTAGACTCCTTCCCACCTTTTCACTGTTGGGAATAATTCTATGAGCAAGGCTGAATGGCAACGCATTTGCATTTCTCTTTCAGTCTTTTCAAGTATACACTTAGATATAAAATAGCTCCAGCATTCGGTGATCCAGTGTTTACGTTTTGGAGGGACAAGCCTGTGTCCCACAAGTAGTTGCACCATTGGGCATGTCTATCAGCAAACTATACGAGTTCCAATTCCCCCACATCCTTGCCAACATTTATTTTCCACTTTTCCCCACCTTTGGTAACAGCTGTCCCAAAGGACAACTTGGTATCCTATTGTGGTTTAAATTTATACTTCCTTAAGGATTTGAAGAAAAGAGCATACCTGTTATTTGTATGATTTCTTTAGAGGAAGGTCTGTTTCGCCCACCCCTATCCTTTTTAAAGCAACTTTGCAGTTACCATTAGGCAACCAAAGATGTCACAAGCAGAGCAGTGTTTTTGGCCTCCATGGACGAGGTCAATAAGGTGACAGTTTTAGTCAGGGTGTGTGAGGAGATACTTCTGTTTGTGAATTAAGCTTTAAAACTTGTTTTCTTAAATTCTTATACTCTTTGGAACAACTAAAAATTAAAGGGACCTATACGGAAGCAAGACGCAAAGCCTGCATGGTAAAGCTCTAGAAAAGGTTCTAGGGCTGTTTAATAAAAGAGCTTCTAAAGATTAGCAGATGAGAGCTGCATATGGAGATTTTTTCCAATGAAAGTTGATTTGCACCACTGAGTAGCATTTGCTTTACATTTGAGAAACGCCCTTTCCTTGGCTCATCAACTCGGCTGTGTAAGGCTCCCTTTTCCTCCATGTTAGAAAGGGCTATTTAAAGTCAGGGTTTCTGGATACACATGATTTGAAGGTTTAAATCAGAGGAGCCAGGAGGCGTTTCCTTGCTGCCGTTATTTACACCCACTATAAAAAGCTTTAATCTGGGGACCTAGGGTGCAGTGGAGAGGCAGAGTACTTGTCTGGCATGTGAGTGACTCTGGGTTCCGCTCTGCATCAGGGCTGGGGTGTAGACTTAACTCAAGAGCATTGGAGCTAGAAATAAGCCCCATACAAGTGTCCTGTGAAAAGAAGAACTGGTGTTAAAAATGGAAGTTGACCTTGCAGTTCCCAAGTACACAGCATTGCTGAGAGGGAGGGGGCGGGTGTGCCTGGTCTGCATGCTGTCCCTGGGCAGCAGGTTCA